GTTACAACTTATTCTGAGCTTGAGACAGGACTTTTTTAGAGGTTTTTGTTATTACCATTGAGCTCTATTGGATTAGAAGATGCTAGCTTCCAGAATTTCTATTACGCTATGGGCTCAGGGACTGCAATATGCTGGAAGAAAAGCTGGGGATTGTCTATAAGTTGCATTTGCATACTAAGCCCACTCATTTTCCTTAGATTATGTGATCATTTAAGGTAGCTTGGTGATGACAGGCACTGATGGAGAAACAAGGATGCCATCTCTTGGTATCTTCACATTTACATCCTTCCTATTCTACCCCTGGGTGTTCGACGTCATCCTTATTCTGGCAATTTCATCTCCTCTGGCCATGAACAATTAAGGATATTTTTAAAAACTTATTTTACAAAGTCCTATATTTCCACTTAAAAATCTTTGAAATAAATACATTATGAAGACAGAATTAAACACTTAAACACAGGTTATTTTTCTCCTCTTTGTTAACCCAAGGCAGCATCTTCTAAAGCCAGGGTTCTATTGATAACTTTGGTTGATTTCATGACAACTTCTATAGCTAGAATCCCATGTTGAAAGATGAACTGAATGAGACAAATATGAGGTAATTATCCTCAATCAGACAATAAAAGTGATGGGAAAACAATGTGTTTTTTAAAGTTTAATTTTTATTTATTAACACATCCTTTTTTTTTTTTTTTTTTTCTTTTTGAGACAGTCTTGCTCTGTCACCCAGGCTGGAGTGCAGTGGCACAATCTCAGCTCACTGCAACTTCCACCTCCTGGGTTCAAGTGATTCTCCTGCCTCAGCCTCCCAAGTAGCTGGGACTACAGGCGTGTGCCACCACGCCCAGCTAATTTTTTGTATTTTCAGTAGAGATGAGGTTTCATCATGTTAGCCAGGATGGTCTCCATCTCCTGACCTCGTGATCTGCCCACCTCAGCCTCCCAAAGTGCTGGGATTACCGGCGTGGGCCACCAATGCCTGGCCAATCAACACATACTTTTGAGTGATACAGAGGTGACTTTGGCACTGTGAAAGGTGAAATAGAACATTTTCGGTACTTTAAAGTAGAGGAAGTATTCACATTTCTATTCTAGCAGAAAATCTACTTTCTCTGTAGAAACCAGTAATATTCCCTAATATAGTTGTTTTTATAAGGACTAATGTTCTCATTCAATGACTGGAGCTAGAATGGGTTCTTTTCACCCCTAGACAATTGGACCTCCACAGAGAGACTCAGACTCAAAGAGAATGGATGAAACATAAGCAAATATTATAGCCAACCGTCAGCCTCCTGAAAGGAAAGAATCCTTAACCAAAGAAGAGAGTGAAGTGTTCGAGTCTCTCACCTCTCCAAGGAAGATTCTGAGGTTTACATATGAGAAGGGAAAGTAGAATTTTTGGGATACTCATGAGTCTTTGAGAAAGCAAAGTCCATTTTTATCTGTCTGGAGAAGGGACAACACTTTTATCGGAATTCAGTAGTGCTAAGCGCTGTAGCCAGTCACTGGATGTGAATCCTGTTGTCTTCGGCTGCACTGGAATTACAGACACTGGATTTCCTTTCTTTTGGGGCCAAAGAGGTATATCCTGAGTGTATTAAGTGTAACCAGGCAATCAGAGAACAATCTCCCAGTCATATGAAGGGTAACCAGATATCTGGGTCAGGTTGCAAAAAACATCAATGTTGTTGGGGTATTTCACTGCTGGGGCTCCCTGGGGAAAATATTACTCAATGTTCATCTTTGAAATATAGCTAAAAGCCAATCATACTTACATCACAAATAGAGCGTTGCCTGTATATTATTTGTAAATGCAACGTCAGTCAGCTATGTAGCTAAGGCCTATGGGAAATAGTCTGATAACAGAAAGAAAAAATTCAGGTAGTATTTTCTTGGAAGGTCTTAGGGCCCCAGGGACTGGAAGCCTAATACATAAGGGAAAATAAAATGTGCTATATGAATAGTGTAAAACTACAAACCTCTTTATCAAATTTGAGATTCTGAGCACTAACTTTATGATTTTTTATAGCAATCTCTTTTAGGAAGCTGAGGATATTTAGAGGATTCTGTTTCCTGCAGAGTAGTTCAATTACGCACAAGTAATTTCAGTCTATGCACAAGAGGACGTGAGTAGTAACTGGTTACCATTTGATGTTAGGATACATAGTTCAGCTCCCTCGGGGATAATCTATAATAAAAATGTAGTAACACCAAGAACAAATAGAGAGAAGGGACTTTTCTCATTTACCCTTTATGACACCATTTCTGTCAAAATGGCTTCTTCGTGGACATGTGCATGCTGAACTTTTAGTGTTTATTTCCTTACCAACGTTCTACATCCAGACCTGGCTATGGGTTGCTCCTCTCAATTTTTACTTCCATCTTCTTGGCACCAACTCTCTGAGACATTGACTGATCACTTGCTGTCCTGTCATTCTCTCCGGCTTACAAAGCCTGAGTCATTTATGTGCATTTAGAGATATCTTTGAATGCAGACTTGCTAAATCACAAGGCAGTCTGATGATGAAGTACCTTACCCATTTACACTTGTATAGAGGAATATCATCCAATTATCTGCAGTGTACTTCTGAAGTACAGCAAGTTGGAGACTGGTTCCTATGTCGGCCTTTGAGTGCAATTCTCCTTTTACTCTTGTTCATTCTGGCAGCAAGTGCGTTTAACATTAAGTGCACTGCATGCAGTGTCTTTGTGCATGGTGTCTCCAAGTATTTGGAAGAATCTCAAAGTCAAAGCTAGAAAAATAAATGTTTGAACCAAGTTTGAACAGAACAAATTGAAAAGCCAGTTACTTAGAGGAAAGAATGCCCACTTATAATCTGCACATTATGTACCATTATATTTTAGAAATTTGTAGCAGACAGCACTGTGAGGAAGAAAGATCACAGTCCTCAGAGTCAGTAGACATCAGTTTTAATTCTGCCTCTGCATAGTTAATGTGTGACCTTGAACAAGCAGCAGCCACTCTGACCATAGTTCTTCCGACTGTAAAATCAAAGGTGGGCCCCTATGATTTCTTTAGTGTCTCATATAGTCACTAGATTGTCCTGAGGGAGCTAAACTATGTATCCTATCATCAAATGGTAACCAGTTACTACTCATGCCCTCCTGTGCATAGTCTGAAATTACTTGTGCTTAATTAAGTTATTCCGCAGGAAACAGAGCTCTAAAGCTCTACATTCTGAAGATATTGTTAAACATTTTCCTTTCATGGAATAACCAGAGATAGAAATTCAAAAGATGGGATTTCCAAGTCATGGTGATATTTTGTGTCATATCACGGTGTGATCTGGTGAAAGAAGTGGTTGGCTGTCGGTTCACCTCTCCGGACATGCTTGGGCAACACATACAACTGTTGGAGGCACCAGTGAGTAGATTCTGAAGCCATGCAATAGAAGCGAGTTGTTAAGTGGTTATTTCTCAGGCGTGTTTCAATCTACTAAATGCCCATTAAACCACTACAATAAAGGGGTTTAGTATGAACTTGGAGATAAATGTGTGCCAGGGCCATGGTCCAAGTAAAGCATTTAAGTGGCCAAGTGTGATGGCCGATACAGAATCCAGAATATCAAGTCAGCAATGCCTGTCTGCTGGGAGAGAAACTAAACAGTTATAGTGGTCTGAGGAGCAAACATAAATAAATGTACCGACTCTAAAGACCTTGGCACAGGCCGTACAATAATGGGTTGTTTTGACAAGTTTAAAAAATGTTTCTGTCTCTACTCTTTCCTATGATTTGGCAACTACTTTACCTTGTATCGATTTGTTCCTCATTTCCTTTCCAACAAAATTTACCCTCTTACTCTCAATATGATGTTCTTTCCACAAAGACTATTTCTAGTACCTATACCTTCTTCCTAATTGAGTTACCGCATTTTCTTTCCTGCTCTCTACTATTCCTCCTTCCACTGAAAAGCCAAAAGAAAAGGGAAAAATATCACTAGCTCCTAATAAAATACTATATATTTTCCTATTATGCAAGGAGTGAAGGCAAAATGGGTATGGAGTTCTGTGTGGACAGCTGCTTCCTGTACAAGATGAATACTACCAGAGCTCCTTGAGACTTTAAGTCTTTGTCTCAAAGACTTTGTCTCCAAGCCTGTCTTGTAACTGGAGTGTTTGTTAATAACTGCTCCTCCTGCATCTCCATGTCACTGTGTGTCCACACACCTCTGCCTACTGCTTCCCATCCCTGACTCTAGACACTTGTTCAGCTAGGGAAGACAAGATGCACTTCCAAAGGAAGATGTTGAATTCAGGCAACAGAATGGTAAGAAAAAAGGCCCATATCATTATTGCTGTTTCATTCTTAGCACACACTTTCATTTCTAATGTTTAAATTATATGCAGTGTTTCCTGATTAGGAGTTCCGTTCCTTTTCAAGGATTCTCAGGGATCCTTTTTTTTCAAGTTGATTCTCAGGGATAAAGCATGTTACCTTCACCACAGTAAGTTCCTCACAAGTGTAGAGTCCTGTTTGACTAAAAACATGTGTCTTCTCAGACAAAATGTGTGCCCTCCTGCGGCTTGCACAGTAGGGTACCATGTCCCTCTCTGATTCCCCTTCTCCCCTGGAGGGTCATCTTTCTTAAGTGGAAATCATGATTTTTGAGAAGTTGAAGCTGAGTTGAACTATTTTCCCCTGATTCTTATCAAAGCTTAAACTATATTAAAGGAGCTACCGTTTTAAAAGATCTACTTATTACATTTCTTTTAGTATCATAATTTTAACACTTGTCGTGTGTCCTAATCCAAATCCCATGTTTTTACAAATAATATAAATAAGGCCTAAAGGTATAGTGACTTACCCAAGTTTACAGAGCTAATTTGTGGAGGACAGTGGAGAGTAGCCCAGGTTCTGATTTTCTGATTTTACATTCTGATTTTACATTCACCACTACACAAACTTTACATTCACCACCACACAAATGGAAGAATTTTGTTATACTTCCAATAGATATATATGTGAAGATCACACTTACCCATTGAATATGTTTCAGTCAATCTTGATGTTGGGAATTCTTTCATGTTTGGACCAGGATAGGACTTCCATCAGAGCAGAGTAGTCTGCCGAGCCAGGAGGATCTCTTTATCCTCTAGACAGAAAAGACAGCTGACCTCAGCCCAGCATTCTACTTCATAAAAGATGTTCACAGTCATGATGCCATTCTATCCTCACTAACCATAAGAGCTTGATAATATTGATAGTTTTACCTTATAGACAAGGACCCCAAGCTTCCTCAGTAGAAATCTAGCCATTAGTTCACATCACATGACTTCACATCCAGATAGAATCCATCTGAAGTGCATTCTAAACTAGGGGAAGTGTCCATACTTTCTTAGCTGGAGTACCCTGAGGGAGAAGAACTCTAAAGGATGAGAAGAGCAAGGACACAATCTGACCTCACGTTGCTGCCCCACCCGGCACACCCAGCCACATATATGTGCTCACAAGTAAGTTTCGATAACAGGGTGCCTTCATAGTTAGTCCCCAAAACTCCTCAAATCCTTAACATTTATGATGATGAATTCTGCATAGGGGTAGCCCATTTCTGAAATTTCAATTTGGACTCGAGTAAAAACAGATTCCCTATTAAATTATTTTTGACCAAAACATCTCATAATCAAACAAGCATATAAACAAATATTTCTAATTTTCTCTTGATGAATCATTTAAAGAATGCACATAAATCACGGCAATGTTTTTCTTTTGGATGACTTTTATTTATAGTTTTCTGTCTTTAAGAAAATTTTCAATAATTTATAATCACATTCCATAAAGTTGCCTTGCTGCTAAGAGCCAAGATAAAGATACATATGATTTAGCTTCCTAATATTTTATTTATCTCTTCGCCCATAAGAGGTCTGGTTTCCCAAGAGAGCTGTGCTCTGTATCAGAAGATATTCTAATAATTTCATTGATGTATACAAAATATATTTCTTTTTTCTGAAATGAAAAAGGAAAGTAGCAAAGGCAGTTTTCATTATACAGATTCATAGTGGTGTACTTCAGTGGTCTGTGCTCATCCTTAGAGGAGGCCTGTCGTATGGCCGCCAGATTTGAATATAAATGTAAACTCCTATTGCTCCACAGAACCCCATGCAGAAATAAGCTTACACCCAATGCATGGAGAAAATCAATAGTATATTATTAAAAGAGCATTCTGACTTTGTGTAGAGCCATTAAAATTAATCCCATCAGCACTAAGTCATGGGCACTAGAGAAATCACCTGGGAGAGCCATGGAATGATGGCAACCCACACAGATTAGGAAGAGAAGATGTCACAGGCAGCACAGAGAAGGAAGTGTAGTCTGGCCCAAGCATTGCCCATGTCCCTTCCTGGCTGCCCTTCTTGTGAACACCTGGGGGTTCTGCATCTACACATTGCTGGTGCCCAATCCTAAACACCACCCTGTCTTTGCTCCAGCCCTCCCTGTCTCCTGGAAGTGCTGCTTCTGAAGGCAACTACTCTAAACCTTCTGCTTCTTTAGAACGCAGTCTGATAAAACAAAGCTTTCTACAGGGTTCATAACTGATAACAGGGTCAAATGATCAATTGCCCCTGATCACAGACTTCCTGCAAGATGCAGCACTGTAGCCCAAAGTCTTGACCCAAAGTCACAATAACTAGGAGAGAGTTTCTGACTGATAACCTTGTTCATTGTGGGAGAGTGTGAAAGCCCTGAAAAGCCAGGAGATCTGGGTTAAAGTCCTGCCTCTACCGTCAAGTAACTCCCCTCACTCTGGGTAAGTCACTTGACCTGCCCGTGCCTTAGTTTTCTCATCTGATAAATGAAGATTTAAAGGGTGTTTTGTGAGAACTCAGTAAGATAATCAAAAGGTATATGCAAAGCAACATGGTGCTTTAAAAATGTAGCTATGACTTCACTTAGACATTTTATGGAACAAACACACAGAGAAATGCTGTAACACAAGGATGTAGGGAAGACAAAAAGACAGACTTCATTTATTAATCATTTCCTGAGTGTTTATTACAAAGCGGGCATTGTTTTATGCACAGGAGGTGTAGGAGCAAACAAGACAGATTGTCAATTATCTACATTACTGCTAGCACTACAGGAGTTTAAAATTATCTTTCATCTCATGTATATCTATTGTGCATGGCATAAATCAGCCATACTAGTATCTGCATACTAGTATTGCTTTCAAACACCAATGATAGAAAATGTCCAAAGCAAATCAGAGTAAATTAATTTTTTGCATCAATTTCTATTTCTTTCAAATACAAAGATTCATATATAACTACTATCAAACATATTTTTTGCCTTTACAGTTGGTCAACATTTGTTAAAGAAGTCAGGAAAATGCAGACATGCAGGAATTAGGACATCCTTGCATCATGGGTCTGTCGGCCTTTTCCTTAGCCAGAGGTGGATGATCTGCACTTGAGGAGGAGGCAAGGGGTAGTCAGGCAGCCTGGAGTTTTCCTGCCCACTCTGCTGGCTCTGTTGGCTCCCCAGCCTACTTCAGCCCCAGCCTTGCAAATTCCAAACTGCTGATTCATGCTCATGATGTGAGCCTAATGACCGTGAACACGCTCCTGTTTTTCTTCTTCAGGCACATTTTCTTGGTAACCAGGCAGATGATATGCTAATGCAAGTTGGCAGACTTGATCTCAAACTACAAAAATACGCTCTGCCACGTGGAAGGGACAAAGGAGGAAAGAGACTTCAAGGCGACCCTTTTGACTCAGGTTTCCATTTTTGTCGAGAAGGCACCCAGCAAGTGCTCAACAAGGAGATTTGGTATTCAGAGGAGACCCACAGTGACCACCAGGATTTTAAACCACATGAGCAGTAATTCTTCTCATTTAAAATCAATGTCCTCTAAGCTTTTTTAGTAACACACTTTATGAGACTCCGCTAGTTTCTCGTGCTGTGTCAGACAGCTCTGGGTAAGCAGGAGATGCTGAATCCAGTGAGGCAGAAAAGTCAGAATTTGCTTTTTCTCAAAATCCGTCTTGGCCCCAACTTGGCTGCATCTTGCTTCTGAGTCATATAGCAAGGGTTCGATGGAGGTCATCGCAGTGCCCTAGACTACTTTGGAGTTTTAATGTATTGCTGTTGAAATAATTTTTAATCTCTTCTTGTCAGCTGGCTAGATGATACAATCATATTACCCTGTGTTGCCTCATGAGTGATTAAAGAACAAGAGCACAGCAAGTCCTGCTTCCCGGCCCTCTCACAGGAAAGCACAGAGGCTTTTGCAGGAATAACAAGCCTTTCGCAACATATAGATATTCCCAGAAAGACAATTCACAAAGCAGTTTATTAGTGCCTGTGTTTTCATGGCACTGCTAAGAGGAATGCCAGGGCCGTTGGCTCCTGTTTTATTAAGGTTCTTGTCTATCTGACTCAGACTCACACATTTGCTGGCCACAGACTTGGAATTTACTGTAAAGTGAGTCATCTGGTATGAACCAATGAAAATTCTCCAGGCAAATTCAGTTCAGATTCTGAGTTGTTATTTTTATTCTAAGATGGTCTTTTTCTTTATTATCTGGGAACTCATCAGTTAGGTGAGTCTGAGTGAGTCTCTGTTAAGAGGCTAAAATTAATAAATCCGTCTGGGTAATTTCTTGCCAAAAGCCACAACCTTTGGTTGATAAAAAGGAAGATGTTTCGTTTCAATTGGAAAGGTCACAGTTGGTCTGCTAAGCTGATTTTGAAAACGATATGCTGATAAGCATAGGGAAGGGTAAAGAAATTCCTTACAAAGCAAAATGAAAATGAGAATTTCTTTTTTCATCACACCAGAGTAAGATTCAAATTAATGTCCTGACAGAGAGGTCACTTTGAGATACACAGAATCAAAGGTTGGCTATCATAGGTTTAGGTTTTTATAATCTGCTTATAACTAGTTACTTCCTTGATCACTTCAGCACCTAGAACCATCTTGAGACAGTTTTTACCACTTTATAATAAAAATACTAGGAATAAACATTTTATTTTATTTTCAGTACTCGGGAAAGTCAAATTTTATTTGAGCCCAAATAACTAAATTCCGACTCTATCTTTTGAAGTGCTCCAGAGTCAAGACTCTAAGCCATAGAGCCTTATTGTTACAATTATGGTCATCAGATTACCTGTGGAGCTCTGTTGAATGATGGAGCCAGGAGGGAGCAGCCACTGCAATCTCTTTATGTCTGTAGAGCTGTCGCTAAGCAGTACTACAGGCAGTGTCTAAAGGCCCATCTGCAAGCCTGGAGTGTTCCAAACACCATCTATGAGAAGTCTCCAGAGCTGTCGCATCCCAGTGAGAATGGCTCTTGCATTCAGTCTCCAGTGAAAGTGTCCAGGCAGGAAGTTGAAATGGAGGACGTTATGTTAGAATGACTATCCAAATTACACAGATGAGAAAAGAGAGTCATAGAGCAAGTCAAACTCCTCCACCTCCCAACAACCAAGGAATAAACTAGAACCCATTTTTCCCTGCCTTTGTGTGTTAAGTTAGACATCCATTGGATTATGCCACTTCTTTTGAGGAAGGGAAGAATAGAAAATTGGATGACCCAGCACAACAGATGAATTCTGAGGATGAAGAAAGCAACAGGAACAAATTTCCATTGTCCTGTTATTTGAAGATGGAAGAGTAGATGTGGGTTCCAATGAAGAACCAAGAAGCAGTTCCACTGAAAAACTAGTATTTGACTCAAAGTAACCATTTTGAACAAAATTCTGAAAAGTCGACCTTAACATATATTTCCTTTTAGTAAATGACTGAGATAGCAAAGGAATGAAATTATCTGTTCTTCCCCAACAATAAACAGAAAGGGCTAATTCAGTCCATTGCAAGTATTTACCCCCATCTCAAGTGGGTGAGCAGCAATCAATGATTAGCACAAAAATGGTCAGAAGAGTAGCACATTTCTCACATGCAAAAAAAAAAAAAAAAAAAAAAAAAAAGCCAAGAAAATTATCATGGATTGAGAGCATTTTTGTCAGAATATGTGAAAAGAAAAAGATAATAAAGGTGAAGATTAGAAACATGTGGAAGAGATGGCAGTAAGAAAGCACAGGATAGGCCCCTAGCTCTGTCCTGGAAGCACTGACCTCTCTGACCTTGCCCTCCACAATGTTCACCTGTGACCGCCTGTGTCCACCTTCAGTGAATGTGTTGTTCCCAAAAGACTCTTGTTCCTGTCAGAGTACCACACAAGAGCTGTGGTCCTGCTCTCTTCAGGAACCCACAATCCCAGTCTAGATTTCAAAAGGAAAACCAACTGCAAAAATTTAACAAATAAAACAGCCTGCTCAATAAGAGTTACTCAAGTTTAACTGTGGATGACTGACCAAGATGAGGAAAAGAGCAAGTATTTTATTGAACATTTTATTGAGCAAGTACTATCTACCAGATATAATACCAGGAACTCTTTATCTGTTTTCTCACTGAATGTCCTTAAGAATTATATGAGATATGGAACTATTCCCATTGTTCTAGATACTGAGAACCAAGGAAGTTCTGTTACTTCCTCAAGATTGGGATTCAGTTCCAGGTAGGCTTTAATCCTGTATGTTATTTACATCATTTCCAACTAATAAAGATGAGAGTATAATTTATGCACATCCGTATTTCAAGTGGATGTCAATTAACTAACGTCTTTATTTGTTATAAAATTATAACAGATTATCACAGACAAAATTTTCCATTAGTGTATCTATACTTTTGAGTACAGTGAAATATAGACAAGAAACTCTCAACGGGAGGAGTCAGGGAAGAGAAGCACATCAGGATTACCTGAGCGACCTGTTCAAGCACATCTCCCATTCCCCTCCCCTCCCCAATCCCCTTCACATGTGTTAGTTAACGTTATCAGCAGAATGTGTCTGACTCATAAAAATACTGGGTTGGGGAACAACAACAACAACAATGTTGTAACCTCGTTTTGTGTATTTTCACACCAATGAATGTTTCTGTTTCTTTCTTTTTTTTTTTTTTCTGAGATGGAATCTTGCTCTGCTGCCCAGGCTGGAGTGCAGTGGCACAATCTCGGCTCACTGCAACCTCCATGTCCCAGGTTCAAGCGATTCTCCTGCCTCAGCCACCCGAGTAACTGGGATTACAGGTGTGTACCACCACACCTGGCTTTTTTTTTTTTTTGACTTATTATCCTATTTTAAGTAAAGGAATTTCTAGATAATTTTTCTCACATTATTTAGGTTGTCATGTTTTGATAGTTCATTTTCAACTTCTGCCTCCCACAATTTTACATGTAACCAATATTCTTACAAAAATATGAATGATTGACATCTTCCATTTACTTAACTGACTTACTCTGTACATATGCATACACACAGTTTCATTAATGTACTGACTTCTGATCAGATTTAAGCTATAGTAAATTTCTTCATCAGAAAAGAAAAACCTCTAAGAACATTACAGAAAGTGATTTCAATGGATCAGGATGCTTTATCATCTATTCATCAATGCTGTCGACATCCAGGCACTGCTGAGTGCCTACAGTATTCCAAGCAGTTGCATTTTACCAGCTAAGGTAGAATCTACCCTCTTGTTGAGTTAGCCATTTACCTATGTCGGAGAAACATCCTTCAGAATAAGGATGCCCTGAACTCTTCTGAGGGCATTCAAAAATAACCAGAGTCATTGTTAGTTTGCCCTTGAATGACTCTATGTTGGAGATAAAGCACTCATGCCTTTCAGGTGACACTTTCTAGATGTCAGCAATTAGTTATAATTATGAATAATTTTGATTACTGTAACTTATCATATTATGTAGGTGGAAATTTAGGCTTTGAAGAAAAATGGATTAGTTAAGACCTAGAAAATATAAACATACTGAATGGGCCCTGTATACTCTAATACCTTCATAGTATTTGAAAGAATTCATAGTAAAACTTAAATCTTCAAGAGAATCTGTACTAGTAGCCACTACTAGATTACTGTGCCACCCAGGACAGCAGAAAAACTGGAAGGCCTGTGAGACTGAGAACCTAAGGCCTGCATCCAAATCTCGGTTTGCAAGTTTTGGAACCGCAGAAAAATCATCTGATGTCTCTGAGTTCCAGTTACTTCATCTGTAGAGCAGAGAAAATAATGGCTCTGCCCATCATCTCACTAGAATATTATCAAACGATCTAAGGTTTGTAAAAATGTTCCAGTAATTATGAAATATTTTAATATAAATCAGTTTTTAAAAACTGTTTCAGAAACTGTAAAATACTATATTAATAAAAGCATTAGTTTTGCTAGACCTCAGAATTTTATCTTTGATTTTATAATCATGCTGAAGTGTATTTAATATAATTGTTTATTATAAATACTTGCTTATGGAATTTGACTAATATCTCTTGGCTCGGTTGCTTCTCTGAACCTGTTACTTCATCCCTAAAGCCTACATAACAATATCTACCTTTATAAAAGGCAATAATATATGCAAAGCACTTAATCCAGTTGCTTACTAGATTCAATTAATACGAATTATTTCTGTTACAAAGTTATAGATTTTGTTCTCCCCACTAACTATAGTTACAAACGTTTACGTGTCTCCAGGACTGTACTAAATGCTGCTAGTTTTGTAGTCTCCTCTTCACTTTTCTTCTTTTCTCATTTCCTCCCAATAGCAAAGGATTTACAATGACCATAATTATCATGATAAATCACTGGATGTATGATTAACAAGGTAGTGTGACAGTTATTCTTTACGTTGGAGGTTCTGTCCCACTGAGACATCTGAACAGCGAATCTGCTTTAAAAGATGAAGCCAGGGAGGGTCATGTGTGGTCAGACACAGGTTCTTGTCAAGGTGATTCTTGTCAAAGTTACAGCCTCACTTTCATATCTTCTTATTTTGTGATTTTTCTTAAAGTGAGTGTTTTGAAAATATTATCCCACCTGCAGGAACATGGTGATTGGTAACATGAAGGCCTGTCTGAGAAACAAAACACTGCTGTGAAAAATCTGATTTAGCATCCGGAATTTTGTTCATTTTTAGCATAGAATTTCATTGTTCACCCAGGGGTAACCTAGCCTGTCATACAAAGTTGTCTTTTTGTTCATTTCAGGAAGTGCCCTGCTGTTATTGCGTGTGTGCCTTTGAAAAAAAATCAGCAGTTTAGAAGGAAGGGGCCCGATACTCTGTTCTCTTTTCCTGCCTTCTGTCCAAGTTCACTACATTTGCCCGAAAATTTCCTCTCACAATTTTACCAATTTCGTCCTGCAGATGGTATTAATGAGTGTCATATCTTAGCAACAATCATTTCATATTAAATTTAGAGTTAAGCTAATGTGGTGGAATGATGCCCATGCCAAAACCTCTTCATTCATTTTCCAATCCTTCACACAACTGCAGACTAGAACCAAATGCTCAAATATTCTTCTTATGTAACTAAATGGAAGTGAGCGTTTCCCTGTCTCTTTATCTTCCACCCTTGTTCTCCAACTCCTTTTTTATTTATAGAACCAGCTGGAATTATAATTTACCGGTGTGCTAAGGGCACATCAGTGATTCTCCAGATGGCTCAAACTAACCCGTGAGAGTACATTTCTTTTCACATTTGATCTTAGAATAGCCAATATGTACCTAGCAAGAACTGAGCAGTTGACCCATGTATCGCAATGTTTCCTTTTACCTGTTTTCTGATGATGAATACTCATATTCCTTGATATTATCTATTCCCTATACATCTCTGTATATTTTCCTCTTTAAGATTTTTCTTTACATTTAATCTGAGGACAAGTAGGAGGGAAGCTTTTTAATTTTAAAAAAATTATTTGATATTTAAGCCAGCTTTTCCTCCTAGCATATGTTTCAGCTTCTGAAATGCAGGTCTTAAACTTCATGTTGAGAATTGAAGATATTTATTCTAAAAGCATTTCTGAGAAAGTAAAAATATAACTATAAATAAATGAAGACAAAAGGAAGATGGGGAAGAGAAAGTTATGTTTAAAATGTTCTTCTAAAACCTCTGATCAAATTCTCTGCCAAATTGTACAGAATGAAGTTACATAATATCAGTTTGCTTACTGTAACCAAGTGTTCACACCATCAGCGCAGATTTTGCATTTCATTCAGTTTTAATCATCAGAGAAATGCAGATTAAAACCATAGTGCAATACCAACTTACCTGAGCCAGAATGGCCATTGTTAAGAAGTCAAAAAACAATAGATGTTGGCACACATGTACTGAAAAGCAAATGCTTATATGCTGCTGGTAGGAATGTAAATTAGTACAATTTCTATGGAAAACAGTTTGGAGATTTTTCAAGGAACTAAAAGTAGATCTACCATTTGATCCAGCAATCCCACCACTGGGTATCTACTCAAAAGAAAATAAGTCATTATATCAAAAGGACACCTGCACCTTTATGTTTATCACAGCACAATTCACAATTGCCAATATATAAAATCAACCTAAGTGTCCATCAAAATATGAGTGAATAAAGAATATCTGGTGTATATATTACCATGGAATACTACTCAGCCATAAAAATAATGAAATTATGTATTTTTCAGCAAGTTGGATAGAACTGGAGACCATTAACATAAGTAAAGTAATTTAGGAATGGAAAAACAAATACTGTCATGTTCTCACTTAGAAGTGGAAGCTAAGCTGTGGATATGCAAAGGCATAGAGCGTGGTATAATGGACACTGGAAACTTAGAAGGGAGGAAGGTGGGAGGGAAGTTAGGGATGAAAAACCACCTGTTGGGTACATGTGCCCAACTATTTGGGTGATGGGTACACCCAAAGCCCAAGCTTTACCATTTTATAATTCATCCATGTAACAAAAAGCTACTTGTAACCCTAAAGCTATTAACAATAATTTTAAGACATAGACACATAGACACTTGAAGACACTAAGCCTACTAAATTCAGGCATCACTATGAA